ATTCCCCTCCTGGAGAACCCTATCTCCCCGTGGTCCCAAAAATACAATTTATATTCCTTCTACTGTTAACACTATATTGTTTATGTCTGGGTTCAACATATTCCCTGCCAAATGTGTGACTGGATCCTCTCTACTATGTAGACTAGTGCTGTTATAATGGTCTTCTACTAGTTAGACGACGGTAATCACATAGCTTATATCTCTAAACTTTCTATGAGTAGACAAGGGACTTTCTTCATATCTGAACAATGCCACACAAACCATACTCTGGGTTTGATAGGAACCGAGTTCAAATCCCACCTCTGCCATTCACTAGCTATAGGATGGAGGATATGTGTTTCTGAATTCCGTTGAGTTTCAGTTTCCTTGTCTGTAAATGGGGATGAGGATGATAATTCCCACTTCATATAGTTGTTATGGGCCTTCAATGAGACAATCATATAAATTCCTTAGCACACGGTCAGCCCCAGAGAACGCATTCAATAGCTACTAGCTCTTATCATGAGGCCAAACTGTATTTTTCTGTGAACCTACTAGGGGTCTTCAAAATGTTCACGGGAAATGTGTGTTATGAAAAGATCATGTATACATTTCAAAATTTTTGAACCAAAATAAATTTACCTTTTAATTCCATTCTTCCATGAACTTTTGGAAGTTCCCCGGTATATGGGCGCCAACTTCAGTGAACAAAAACAATTAAGGTTATTAGTGAGCCAGAGACAAGTTACTTCCAACTGCCTCAGATTAACACTGATGTTGTTTCCCTTGCACAGATAACATCATGCCTTAGAACGTTCCCTAGCTAATCCTGAAATTACATGCAACCCAGTGTGAATCAAATAAAAATGAAAATAGTAATTATGCTGAATCAAACATTTTATATTTATATATTCTAACTAGAGATTGAGCTGCCCCCCCCCAAAAAAAAAAAAAAACACCAGAAAAGAACTAAGTTCTTTTTGGAGCATATCCAGGAGATAGTCCCTATAACCACTTGGGACAATTTCTATAGCGGCAGGCCCTGTGGATGAGACCCTGTCGTCAAGTGAAATATGGAGCCAATTCCAACAAAAGAGGGGATCACAAGTTCATTGCAAAATCCAACTGCTTTACTCAAGGTAGGGAAGGGAGAATATGAATCTTGAAGCTTAATCTGTGTGTCTTACATAAAATAGTCAAGAAAATATCAGAAAGTACTGCTATCTAACACACACACACACACACACATACATACACACACCTTCTTTCCATGTAATCCCAACATAGCTTATATGATTCCCAGAATCTTTTGATATAGAGATATGGGTGCAGGCACATGTGTGTGTGTGACCACATGCTCACAGGTGCATAATTCATGAATATAAATGGGAAAAAAATAACAAAAATTCCAAAATCACTATAGCGTAAAGTTCTTTAGTCCAGTTCAACATCGCTGCAAAAGGGACATTTGACAAGCTCAACAAGGTTTCTAACCAAAAGCTTCACTCTTCAAGATAACTGCAGTAAAGAGTATATTAGTAATGAAATACCAACTGTCGCATAGCCTTTATCCTTGGTCTTTACAGGAGGCACAATGAGAATAGTAAGGTTTTTTTTTAAATGGTCATTAATGTTATTTTTTATTAATGACTCAGCATTACCTAGTTATAGTTAATTTTCCAGTCCCCAAACCCTTCTCCCTTCAAACTCCCTTCTCCCCATCTGTATCACTCATGTGGTGCTTATCACACCCCATGTTGGATTCCAATTATGCATGTGCCTGGCTTATCTCACTACTACCAGCAAAGGTTCTGGTGACAAGAGGCCCTTCCTCCCTTCTTCCCACCTCCCCTGATGCCTCGCACAGCACACTGCACACAGTAGGGACTCCAAGCTGATCTGACCATTGAAAGTGGAACAAAAACATGGCCTGTCTGCTGAAGATCCCTTTTGATCATGGCCTTTTGGCTCCCCATTATTTGAAAAGTACGGGCGTCAAGAGGCTAGGCAATGCAGGACCTCAGTTGTAAGCCCTGTCAGTATGATATACTCCCTGACGCCAGTGGGAGCACATCAAATTCTCCTAATTAGGATCTAGTAAGGTGGAGACGCCTTCAGAACACGTGGTATTCTTAAAAGACTGTTCAGTGCTCCAGGAGGCAAGTGCAAGGACGTTAGGAAAAACCTTAAACTTGGACTAAGCCCGGGGCTCAATGAGCTGCGCACTCCAACATTGTGACCCTCTGCCTGGAAAACAATCCTGGATGCTTTGCATTGAAAAAAAAATAAATAAATTATTCGTGCCCCCGCCCCACCTGCACGGAAAGTACCTAGCAATTAATTCATTCAGGCCTAAGCTGAATGCATGTCACTAATTGACTATGCCCTCCCTCCCCTTGCAAAAAAAAAAAAAAATGATCAAAATTATCTGAGTGTAGCCCAGAGGAGAAAGATGAGGTTAATGCCGCATCTGGAGAGCCCAGAGTGATGGTAAAGATTACCCCTGTTTCTATACTGGCCTTCTAAAGGTATTTACTTGGGTCTGTCTGTGTTGTGACAGTGCCCTAGACGCAAATGAATGCCTCTAACACTCCACATTTTTGAGCCATTCAGTCATGCATTTTTGTTATTGTTGAAAGTGGTGCGAAATTGCACTGCATGAGCTAAAGTCCTTGGTGGTCTTCCAAGGATTCCAGCTAAAAAGGCACTTCCTTTGTTCCTGAGGAGAATGCAGTCCAGTAGGTCATTCAAAAGGGGAAATAAAAGCAGCAGCCCTGGGAGGGAGATGAAGGACAAGACAAAAAGAATAAAATGTTTTGGGTGTGAGCACATTAGCTTCCATTTCCTGCTGCTGGTCACTAATAACTCCCCTATCTTTTGGGGGGAGGGGTGCCGTGATAGACATTTAGGCAACAAATATCCCTCAGGTGTTTTCTGGGGATGAGGACAGTCAAAGGGTACACCTAAGGCCCTAAGCGCCCTCCTCTCAAGCTTCCTCTTCCCCGCGGGCGAGCGAGATGCTGGCTGGGGGAGACGCCTTGCCACTGCAAGAAACTGCACCGAGTTAAGTTGGAAAAACTGGGGAAGGCAACTGCCCAACCCACTCCCCCGAAGGCCTCCCGTGCATGTCAAAGACACATATTGTTTGCAGGAGCAGCCGAAAACTTGTCACAGCTACGCGCGTTCCCACTAAAGACCATAGCTGCCATCTATCCGTTCCAAACGTGGGAATGACAACTGTAACCTTCCACGCCAATCATCTCGGCGGCGCCCAGGCCCAAACTGTGCAGGGCACAAAGACCCCTGCTCTGACCTGCGGAGTGCCTAAGCTTCAGCGGCTGCTGGTTCACTTCACTTTTTCTAGTGGGGCGGGAGGAAGAGGGGGAAAGAAAGCGGGCTTTTCAGGACTCTACAACCAATAAAATCGTGCCGCTTTGAGGACATACTCGAGTTCGCCGACAGACCGGCAGCTGAAGGGCAAACGGTCTTTAATCGCGAGTGTGCGAGTTACTTGACAACTGCCAAGGTGCAGTGGGCGCCGGGGCTGCTCCGGCGACTTCTTCGGCTCTATTTCTAGACTGATGCCGGTTACTACACTTCCCTCAATTACCTTTGTGATTTATACGTAATTGATGACTGCACTTAATCTCCAAGGTTATTAATAGCCCTTCCAAAAAAAATGACCCCCAAGTCTTCCGAAGTCTTTGGAAGCGCCTGGTTGAAATTACAGTATATTTCCTCGGCTGGCTGCCTGCCGAGCCCTGCCTGCCCCACCCGGAGCGACCAGCACGGCGAGGCAGAGGCGCGCTCTGCACACTTCCATGAAAGGTTCGGAACGGAGGCTCGGCCCCCGGGGCTCTGGAGTGGCGCTCACTCCTCCGTTAGCTTATGCTGGCCATCAGCCAGCTAGAGTCGCGGTTCTTTGCTGAGCCCCCGGGGCGAGCAGGCTACCTGCGCCGCCGCCGGCCCCAGCGCGGCCCGAGAGGCTGCGCGCAACAGTTGGCTGCTGCAAGCCAGCCAGCCAGCGAGTGAGCGAGAGAGCGAGCGAGCGAGTGAGCGCGACCCTGAGGGGACCCGCCCGGGCACCGCGTCTGGCCTCTGAGGAGGGCTGGAGGGCGCTGCCGGCCACGGGGCTTCGCCAAGGGCTTGCACAAATGCACCACGCAACCCCCTGCGCCGCAATCCCGCGAACTTTTTTTTTTTCACAGGCTAAGCCGTGTCATTTGCATAACCATCCCTAAACAGGGATTCGGGTTTCCTGTAATCAGTCCTTTCAAAGGTCTGCAATTGTACGTACAATTAACCCTAAAAACGAGGTGAGAAAAGAAGAAAGGGCCAAAGGGGTGTCCTTCTTGTCCAACACCTTCCGGAAAGCCCAGAGTTCCCAAAAGTCAGGGGAGGGAGGAATGGATTGGAGGGGGAGTCGCCTGCTTTCTAAAGGCGACTTCTAAAGCCCTTGCAGCTACTCAAACTTCTAATCCGCGTCAGCGGTAAGAGACAGGCGGGGGAGAGGGGGTTCTATTTTATTTTATTTTTTTAAAGAACATCAATGAAACATCGATTCAAGTTTCACGTTTTGCGCCCCCCCCCCGAATCTGGCAAACTCCAGAACGCCCTCCTCGCACCCCCCCCACTACCCAGTCTCTCGTCACCCACACAACAAAGCGGGGAGCCCAGGAAGGAGTTCAACCCGGAAAAGGCGAGGGAGCCGGTGACACGCACTTGGAGGGCTGGAGACCTCAGGGGCTTCCTGGGACCCGCAGGATCGCGGAGGGTGGGGGAGCAGAGCTCCGGAGTGGCACCGGGGGAAAAAAAAAAGCCAGAGCCCCATCCACCCGCGGTGCCCTGGGGGGCGCCGCGCCCGCGGGGCATGTTCTGCGCCCCGGCTGACTCGCTCTCACTCTGCCGCCTTTCCATTTCTCCCTCTCGGCTACCTGCCTCCGGCGCGAGGGGCGGCCGGGCGGGAGAGGGGGACTGCGGCCCCTTTTCCCGAGCGCCCGCCTCTGGGGGTTCCCACCTACCGTTGATCTCGTGGAGGGGGGCATCGTTCTTGTTGAAGCCTTTGGACACGTAGAGACGTCGCACTTCCGAGCAACTTTTCGACTTGAGCTCGGCAGCCAGCAGCGCGGCGCTGAGCGCGGCCAGGAGACAGAGAAGCGCGGGCAAGCCGAACCGTGCCATGCTGCGGGCCGGGGCAGACGCGTTCCCACCTTTCGGACAGGAGGAGACGGGTCGGGGAGCGGCGCTGCCGGGGCGGGCCGAGCGGCACGGAGTCGGGGGCTCGCGAGTGGAGCGAGAGAGCGAAGGAGTTGGAGTTAGTGGTGGAGCAGGAGGAGGAGGAGAGCTGGAGGAAGAGACGCGGGGAGAAAAGTGGAGCCGGGCCTCGCGTCAGGCAACGGTCCCCGGTGCCAGGCGCGCAGTCGGGGCAGGAGGAGGAGAGAGGAGGGCGTGGAGCGGCGCGCGGCCCAGGGAAGCAGAGGCACGGGCCGGTGACCCCGGGGCTCCGCGGGGCAGCGAACCGGGCGGGCGAGCTGGCTGGCCGGCCGGCAGAGCAGGGTGCAAGGAAGGAGGGAAGGTGGCAGGGACCGCGGAGGGTGTGGGCGGCAGCGGCGGCGGCGGCGGCAGCGAACGCCCGCTGCGAGCTGCTCCGGCTGCCCCGCGCTGGTCCGCTTGCCTGGCTCGACTCGACTCGGCTCGGCTCGGCTCACTCTGCCCTCGGCCGCGCGGCTGTGCCCTTCTCAGCTCTGCTGCTGATTGACTGGCCGGCTTGCGCGGCGACGCTCCGCAAACTTGGCCAAGCAGGCGGCACTAGGGGGGAGGGGGTGGGCGGCACGAGTGGGGGGAGGTGGGGGAGCCGGAGACAGGCGGGAGCACGCAGGGCCGGGCCGGGCCGGGAGAAAACCTGGAAGTGGGGTTGGATCCGGAGCGGCCAAATCCACTTCCTAGGGGGCCGCACCGGGCGCGCGGCGCTCCCTCGCGCGACACGCCCCGTCGGACTCCTCCTTCCTCCCCTCCTCCTCGGAGGCGGGGAACCTGCCCGCCGCCCCCCACCCCCGCCGCGCTCCCCCCAACCCCGGAGAGGAAAGGCCAATTTCTCTGCGCTGAAGACTCCCCAGTGCCAGGGAACCGGGCGGCCTGGGATTTGTACCGAAGCCCACGTCTGAGCAATTAGTCCTGCTGCGGGCGGGCGGCCACCTGACTGGCTGCGCGCCGGCCAACGCCGCGCCTGGCTCTCCCGCCGCGATACCTGCCTGCTCGCTGCCATCCCACACGGGGCCCAGGGTGGGGGGATGCTCCTAACCGCCCAGCTCCCGGGCTGGGCGGGGAAGGCTCTCACGTTGCTCGCATTGTTTCTCTGCAGGCACCACGGGCACTCGGGACTCCCAGCTGGCCCTAGCGCCTCACCTGGCCTCCCCGACTAGCCACTGACTCTTCACCCCACCCTCCTCCCACGCAACCCTCCAGCCTTCACCCCCCCTCCCCCCACCTGTTCTGCAACAAGTCTAACAGAAAGCCCTGGACAGTGAAGGGATGGGGCAAAGTCACGGTTAACCACGAAGACCATCAGGCTCAAGCTCTCCTGCCGGTCAGGGAGCTGAGGCCCAGTGACTTGCCAACAGCGCGTATGGGGGGGGGGGTGGCGGGGAGGGGACAGAAGCCCGCAGTCTTGGAGCGGTAGCCTAGCACCCTCCCCTTTCCCCCAACTTGTCCCTCCTCCAGGCTCCTGAGAGAGACTGACACCCCTCTGAGACCCAGTCTCCACTTACCCACCAGAAAACTGGGAATGGGTGAGCCTTCTCACCTTGCAGGCTTCGTCAGATTCCATTAATGAGTGTTTTTGAAGCTGCCAGGGCTCCTTTTAATGAAGGGAACGGTGTAGATTGGGAACTTGTCATTACCCTTGTTATTGTTACAGTCTGCTTGAAGAGGTTAGGGTGAGAAGTGCCTCAGACACCTCGGGAGTGTGCTGGGAACTGGGCAGATAAAAAGAGCTGGAACTTATTATTTGGCTAGACTCGCAATTCCCATAAAATTACATAGGGTGAAGATATGAACCATCATTACAATTATCGCCCTCAGAGGGTTTGTGGCGACTTCCTCCACTGTTGTTTGTAACCCACGTTGACATGGTTGGCCAGGAGGAGCCCAGAAACCCGCATCGCGTTGTTTGGAAGCGCTGCAGACTCTTCTACATTTTATTAACTCTTGGAGACCATCAGCATAAACAGACAGATTGCGACCTGTCTATAACTGGGACTTCCGATTTCTGTGGGTTGGCAGTACATTTCACTCTGAAACTAGGAGAGCAGTTTTTCCTAAATATGCAAACTCAACTACAATTGAACTTCCTGCCATGTTCATGCGACTTTCAAAAGGCCTAAATTTTCCTTAAACTGATAACCATCAAGGTCTTCAAGGCGTTTCTAGGGTTTAGCCCAGGGCTTTTAACTTTCATTGATTGATGCGTTTACTTAAAGGATATTCTTGACGAAGGAGAATGTGATCTGTGATGCAACTGACATTAACAATAAAATGAAATCCAGTGACCATAAGCGAGTAAATGATACTCCTGAGCCAAGAAGGCCAAATCAGAAAGCTGCTTCTCCTGCCAAGTCCAGAAGCTCCTTCCCTACCCCCCCCACTCCCCCCCAACCCCGCCTTTCACTCCTGCTCTTTATCTTAATGTATTATTAACCAAAACTTGAGTCTTTAACACCAGATCAGTAACCTCTGGCTACAAACGGATCTGAACAAGTCTGAACTTTACCATTGGAGGCAGGAACCCCAAGCCTGGCTCAGAGGCGGCTCCCACTTCAAAGCCTCCTTTCATTTAAATACAAACAGGGTGAACAACTGGCAATCTACAAAACAAATATCATCCAGAAAGGAAGCTTTTCAGATGGCCCCTAGCTCCTTCTTTCCTTTCCCCGCCCCCACCCCAGCTCTGCTCTTCCAGAAGAGAGGCTTCTTGGTGGAGGTGCACCTACTCCTTTTGAGTTCTCCGAATGCCAAAAACGGAATTGGGTGCTGCCTGTGGAATACAAGCATTAATGATTTGTTAGGCTTATTAACTCTCGTGTAGCACGGGTTAGGGTTTTTTTTTTTTTTTTGCCTTTTCTATTATGGTAAAATGCACACGCATAAAATGTACAATGTTAACCATTTTGAAGTCAACAGTTCAGTGGCAACTTAATACAATCATAATGTTGTACAACCGTCACCACCAAGGTGCCCACATTCTCATTAAGCATTTCAAAGTCCATACCCTTCGCTACCTAGAAACCTCTGCTCTGCTTTCTCTCTTTACGGATTTGCCTATTCTGGACATTTCATATAGATGGAATCATACAATATGGGGACTTCAGGACTGGCTTCTTTAACTTAGCATCATGCTTTCAAGGTCCATTTCTGCATAGCCCTTATCAGTACTTCATTCCTTTTTGATGGCTGAATTAAATATTCCATTGTACAGACAAATCATATTTTAATCAGATAGCACTTTAAAGTTTGCAAAGTGCTTACAGGAGCACTCTCACAACTTTAGAAGAATTTAGTGATCTTTTTTCTTAATTGACAGACAAACCGAGTCTCCAAGGTTAGGTGGCTTGTCTACAGCCACAGAGTTCTTGCTTCAGCAAGACTGAAATCCAGGGCCTCTGACTAAATCCCTTGCTGGTTTTGGTTAGCAAGTGAGTGTGAAACTGCCCCGAGCCTATAGAAGTGTCCTTGTTTCACATTCAGAAATACTCATTGAGCACATACCATATGCCAGCTGCTGCTCAGCCCTAGAAGGAGGCAAGCTGTAGGCACCCGAAGCCGTTTGCAGTGTCATGTCCTATATGAAAGGCTTGCTTAGATAGAATGCACTTATAGCATACTTGGTTTTCCCAGGAGAGCTTTCTCTTGATATGGCACTGGGTCGGGGGAAGGGGTACATTTGCTAGTGGACAGAGGGAACAAAGAATGCACACACACACACACACGCACACGCACACGCACACACATGTTCCACTGAATGAGTCTGGCTGAGCTTTGGGGGCACTTCTCTTGGCCCACATCGCCACATGCAGGGCTGGGAAGTAGAAAGTGGCTTCCTCCCTCAGGCTGAATTGTTGGCCCGAAACCTTCTACTCTCTTCCCTCCCCTACATTGCCACTAAAGTGAACTTTTGACAAGATCATCTGAGCGATGACCCGCCCTCGCTTAATCCTGCCACCCTCCCCTGTAATTCCTCACTGCTTTCCAGATCAATTCCCAAGCCATTCGGTAGATCTGAATCTTTGTTCTTGGGCCGTAGTCAACACACCCAGCTTTCTTACTGGCCCTACCCTATATTCCGTGCTCTGGCCCAATGAGAACATCACCCTCCATCATGCCATGGATTCCTGGTAACCTTATCCTGCCCCTTCTAGAAATACCCTTTCATTCCTTGGACAGTTCTTTTGCACTCATCCTTCAAGACTTAACTGAAATGCCACCTCTTCTGGAAAGCCTTCCTGGATTCCCCCAAGCAGAGCTAGTATCTCTTGCTTCTAGGCTCCCCTAGACTCAGTCAACACAAAAAGCACTGTCAACACAAACTAACTCCCACACTTGCTCCTCCACAGAGGCTCAGCTCTTCTTAAGCCACACCTCAAAGAGCTCTTCTAGTTATTTTTATTGGCATGCCTATTGCCTGGTAGAGTTCAGGTTCACCAGATGGGTAGCTTCCCTCGGGGAATAAAAGACCTGATCATGGGTACTTCCAACAGTTTGTGGAAAATGGAATTAAATATAAAATTATTTTGTTTGCAAACATTTTGAAACGCATGCATTGTCTTTTCATAATAAACATTAACAATAACTTTTTGAAGAATTCTCATATTTGCATTTGAATTCTCTTGATTCTTAAATGATTGCAACTACTTCTGACTTCTTAAAAGTTCATCAGACAGCTGGCACCGCCGCTCACTAGGCTAATCCTCCGCCTTGCGGCACCAGCACACTGGGTTCTAATCCCAGTCGGGGTGCCGGATTCTGTCCCGGTTGCCCCTCTTCCAGGCCAGCTCTCTGCTGTGGCCAGGCAGTTCAGTGGAGGATGGCCCAAGTCCTTGGGCCCTGCACCCCATGGGAGACCAGGATAAAACCTGGCTCCTGCCATCGGATCAACGTGGTGCGCCGGCCGCAGCGGCCATTGGAGGGTGAACCAATGGCAAAGGAAGACCTTTCTCTCTGTCTGTCTCTCTCACTGTCCACTCTGCTTGTCAAAATAAAATTTAAAAAAAGTTCATGAGACAAAGAGCCTGGCTCTATGGCTTAGCAGGTGGGGATGCCACCTGCAGTGCCAGCATCCCATATAGACATCAGTGAGTTCTGGCTGCTCCACTTCTGATCCAGCTCTGGGCTATGGCCTGGGAAAGCAGTGGAAGATGGCCGAAGTCCTTGGGCCTCTGCACCCACAGGAGAGACCCAGAAGAAGCTCCTGGCTCCTGGCTTCGGACTGGCGCAGCTCTGGTCATTGTGGCCATTTGGGGAGTGAATCAATGGATGGAAGAACTTTCTGTCTGCCTCACTCTGTAACTGTTTTTCAAATAAATTTTTAAAAAATCATTTAAAAAAAAAAAGTTCGTCAGACAAACTCAGCCTACCTTCAGCCCAGATTTCACGCACTCATTTTCTTCCTTTGCTTCTCCTTTGAAGATTGCACAGCCTTCTTGGGAGATAGGACCCAGGAGGAAAAGACACTGACAAAGATAATACAGGACAATCCGTATCTCCCCGGACAGTTGTCTCAATCTACTCTTTGTTTCCCAATGGCTG